ATAGAAGGTACAAAATCTATCCTTTAGTCATCGTTGTACATCTCATAAACCGTTTAAATAAGAAATCGAACTCTGTATTGACCTGTTAGCGAAAAATAAAGGTTTGTTACAGTTGTTTAAGTCTCATTCTGAAATATAATAAGTTTGGGTAGGAACATAGCAATTGTATGTTTTATGCAAATATACTGATAATAATAAATAGAACTCATATAGTACATAAAATTTTACATGCATATATTTATCAAAATAACAAAATATTTTAATTGATATTTTATAATGATTTTTTAATGTGCAATCTAAAGCAAATTAGATAAAAAAATTAAATAAAAAATTTTTACATAGTTACAAAATTAATCACAGTAATGCATGTGACTTCAGAAACAGTGACACATTTATTTTAAATAAGATTTTATAGTTGTTAACGTCAATAATAAAATTACTTACATCAAAACGCTTCTTCATTAATTACAGCCGCCACTTTCTCGTTTCCTAAGATCGTCACGTGATTACCTTCGACGTGATGTACTACCACCTTGTTTTCAGTTATCTTAAACGTTATAAATTTTATTAAAAAATATTGTAAAATTTGGTATATTAAATAATGAATACTGATAAAATGTTTTCTTAAAATACCTTATATAAACCATAATCCTCTTCAAGTTCAGGTGCATATGACAACGTAGGTTTTAACAACGTTAATGGGTGATTTAATACGCGGTAATGTAGAAGAATCATATTGCCGAATAAACAGTATGTTTTTATAAATTGTTGCATACAGTGTTTGTAAATTTGGGCGTGACAGAAGTGAATTTTCTTTTGAAAAGTATTTGGCGAAAATTTCAAATCTTTCTTTCCAAGTTTCACATTTTCTTAATTCTAATAGAACCTGTCAAATTATACGTTCTACTTTTAAAATCAACTTATTATAAAATGAGAAATATTTACAATATAAAACTGACAGTAAGAAATGAGTCATACATAAAATATCTGCAATAAAAAATGTATTAATTTAAATAATTCAAAGATATAAATAATGGAGTTATACCTCTTCACCAATTTCTGTTTCATAAATCTTTAGAATAATGATCATAATATCAATTTGAATTTCTTTATCGCTCATATAACAAAACTTATTGAGTTCACTTCTCATTATATATTCCGGAGCTCCATCGATGAGAACTAATCGACTTTTAGTACCCATAGTCTCCAATCTTCTTATTAGTTCAATTGTAAGTATAGAACCAAAAGAATATCCTGTAACTACGACTTCCTTTTTGTCTCTTAATCGTGATGATATGCATTGAAAAAACAAAGACAAAAATAAATTTATTTAGGAACCTTTGCATCTGTAAGCTAAATGCCATTTTCTATTCCAAAATCATATGACAATATATAAGTTTTAATAGTAACAAATATAATGTCAAGACACCATGCTACACGAATAGCACTGTAAAAATCCAACTTCCGATAATGATAATGTTATGGATAAATATGGTATAAAACTGTTTCCGCGTCTATAGAGAAATTTTAATAATTATAAAAACAAGAAAGTAGAACGGAATAAATTTTGAAAATATAACAAAAAATGGAAATTTTGAGGAATCTTAACGCATAGTTAGGCAAAGCCTATTTAAAAAAAATTTTAGAATAGAAACAATACAAATTATTACTAACTGTGATTATATACTTTTGAAAGACGTTTAATTACAATTACATACCATTAAAAGATAATCAGCCATCTCCGATACAGTGTTTACATCACCGATATTGCCATATTGCAAGGATGTTGCCAAAAATTTAATTTTTTGTGCTAAATGATTAAATATTGTTCCGCAGCCATCAAGTCCTGGTAGAAGAAATACATGAGTCGAGTTATCTACTGTGTTGGTCGAAAAATCTAAACAAATTTCTGAAACAAAATTTTGATTTCTCAAAACACCAAATAACAATTTCTGTTCTGTCGTAAGATCTGGTTTATTTATATCAATTGCCGCTTCAGTTGCCGCTTCAATTTGTGTCTCGTTGCTTTTAACGTTTGCATTAGACATTTGACCCAGTTTTGCAAATGTGAGGCTTCGTAGTTCTTGTGGAGTGAGCAAGATATCAAATTCTCGTTCTAATGTTTGTCTGATTTCCACAGCCATCATGGAATCCATTCCAAGTTCAGCCAAAAGTGTATTTCGACTTATTACTTTCATATTTCTTATATCTGCAAAACAAAATTCATAAAAACATTATGACTTATTATATTATACCAAAAAAAGTTTGATTACATATTGTACATGAAAGTGTGCGTATATATGTTTGTGTACGCATTTGTGAGTGCAACAATGACTTTTCAAATGTTGTGATATCAAGGTAAATAATGCATGCAAAAATTATCACGTTTGAAGTAGGCTATAACAGAAAGAAATTTATTTGTAAATTCTTACTCATTATATTAGCAACGATTTCCACTATGTCCTCCGATCCGGATAACCGCGTTTTCTTTTCACTTACAATCATGCTGCTTACAATCGGTCGGTTCTGGATCAAAAATTTCTCGAATTCTACAAGGCAGGAAGATATTTTTTGCTGCAGAGTACCGCCGATAACTAATTCTTTATTGTCTTCTTGCATGTCAGCGACGAGACCTACGTCACCTACAACTCCCCATTGAATTGCCAATCCGGGTAGACCTTCCTTCGCTCTTTTTTCGCACACTCTTTCCATGATGGAATTGGCCATTCCATAATTAGTTTGCCCAGCGTTCCCTCTTCCGCAAGAAACGGAAGAAAACACTACAAAATGTCGAAGTTTTAAACAGATCTTTCTAGATGCTTTATCTAATGTCTGTGTCGTCCAAGCCTTCGACATGAAAGATTCCGTGAAAGTTTCTATGGTTTCTATGGTTTGGTTCTTAAGTAGACAATCTTTCAACACCACAGCAAGATTAAATATCGCATCTACTGGTGCTTGTTTCTCCGCCATTTGTAAGAATTGTTCACATTCTTCGGGATTAGCAAGATTTGCATCTTTAACTATCTGCACGTTTACACCGTACGATTTCCATAACTCAATTCTCATTTGCTGATAGCCATTCTTTATTCCAGTTCTCGAAGTTAGTACGACATTCTTAGCGCCTCTAAGTATTAGCCAGTCCAGTTAACTCTATACCAAATCCACCCAATCCGCCTAATATAACGTAAGTTTTATCCTTGAGACAGTAATAACGACGGTGTGCAAGAACAGGTAAATCCAAAGATTTAACATCCTCTTGTATATTTAAAATAATCTATAAACATATCATTGTATTAAAAATATGAAATTTATTACATATTAAGCACAACTTTTTAATAATAATTCATAGTATACGTTTAATTGTTCTAAACATACTTTTCCCATGTGTTTACCGCTTGCCATGTATCTGAAAGCTGCTTCAATTTCCGTCTTATATATAGGAAAAACTGTCGTTTGAATAGGTTTAATATTTCCATATTTTACACCCTCAACAATTAACTTGGATAATCGAGATTTATTTTTATGATTACTGGTAAACATTTGCATCCAACAGAACAGGATAAAAACTGATTCCTTTTTTAAATAAAAACATGTTTAGAGAATTATTGGATAAAATATCAAACTTTCCGATTTCTAGAAAACGACCCCTCTTTGCCAAACAGCGAACAGACGCTATAAGTTTTTCTTCCGCCAATGAGTTTAATACAATATCAACGCCGCGACCGTTTGTTTGTTTCATTATCATTTGCTCAAAACTCGTGTCTCGCGAATTTCTAATATGCTCATCGGAAATAGCCGGAAACAGTTTTCTGATGAGTTTACGTTTTTCTGCAGTGCCCACGGTAGTAAACACTTGACATCCTTCCTGAAAAGCGAGATGAATAGCTGATTGTCCAATGCCACCAGTGCCAGAGTGGATAAGTACTTTATCACCTTTCTTCATTTTTCCAAAATGATATAAGGCATAATAATTCGTGCTGTAAATGCACGGCACTGTGGCCGCCTCTTCAAATGTCCATGAATCGGGTATATTCCAACCACGAAGTAAAAGTAAGGAGACGTAACTACATAGATTGAAAGTGGTCACGAAAAATGTTCCGTGAAGGAGGAGGTTTGCCGAGTGGAATAACTTGCAACATTTCGTCGCCATCTTTAAATTGTCAATGACAGATGAGACCACAGTGAGAGAAAAGGTTATAAGGATTAGAAAAGCATGGAACGTAAGTATGAAATTGAAATAAACAAATAAATTTTTAAAATAAAAAAATGTTACAAATTTTTAAAGAACATAAAGAATATAAAGAATATAAATCTTATATAATACAAACTATGTTTATCTTAAATAAGGTTAATATAATTATAAATATATTTTAGAGAAGAAAACGCCGTAGATGATAATATATATAATTTAGAATATACTTATCAGTATCAGTATTCAAGAAAATAAAGATTGAAAATAAAATATACATATACACACACATTTCTGCAGAGAAAAAAGGTAATAATATTAAAAAGTATTATAATATATAATATTATATTTACTTATAATAGATATAGTATAGAAGTAGTATTAAAAAAGAAAAACAAAAGTCAGTTTTAAAGTAAAAATATTAATGTTGTAGAAAAATAATATTTATATTACTTTATTATTTTTTAGCATTTCAGACAAAGAAACAAGATGAAATCTAAAAATGATGGACGCAATAATTTTAAATATTTGCAAGACAACTTGGAGTTTATTACATTTCCTTCTACTGAATGGAGTTGTTCAAGAGGGAATGAAATG